TTGGGCCAGTAAAGCAACGTCCTCCACAGCTAGACTGAAGAACAAAAGGACAGCAACTTGTCTGTTCCCCTTCCCCCAATTCCCCAACGCTGTTCCCATCCCCCAATTCCCCAATAAAAATAAAATAAAATGCTTTACATTTAAAAAAAAAAGCAGTCATACGTGTTCTCAGGCTCTTCCTGCTGACAACATCTGCAGGACACCCATTTGGATTTCTCACCATTGCCTTAAACTTCTATTGTATGAAGTCCAACTAGCAATTTAGCCACCTATTCAGGATAACACATTTCTTGCTATAGTAATTCAACTTCTAGAAATTTGATCTTAAAGACATACTGTATAAAGAAGTGTGCATAATAATATTAATTGCAACATTTTTTATAGACTAGAAACAACCAAAATATTCATCAGTAGGGAGGACTGATTAAATAAATGGTGTATTCAGATAATTTAAAACTATGTATCCATTAGAAAGAATGAGATAGATCTATGTGTACTGATAGAAAGCAATCTCTAGGACACTGTAAGTGGGAAACAACAAGAACAGTGTGTATGGTATGCTAACAATTATTTTGCTATTTTTAATTCTTTAGTCTTTAAAAAAATTTTTTTAAAGAGATTTTTTATTAGGGGAATTGCGGGGAGGGCATAGCATTGGGGAATCAGGGAAGGGGAACAGACAAGTTGCTGTCTTTTTGTTCTTCAGTCTAGTTGTGGAGGACACCGCTTCACTGGCCCAGTTGGTATTATCATTGCGCTCTTCCAGGTGGAGGCAGTCACTCGCTGGCCACTTTACAGCTGCTCACGGAGGCTCACGGCAGCTCACGAAAGTGCACGCCAGATGCCGGCCAGCCCCACTGCAGCCTACGCCATCGCCGACCACTCACAGCAGCCCAGCTCCAAGTCGAGCTGTTGTTCACCATCTTAGTTGTAGAGGGCGCAGCGTCACTAGCCCTCATGTGGGATCCGAACTGGGGCCCTGCTGCTCAGAGCTGGTGTCCCAAGCCAACTCTTAACCAATGCGCCATTCAGCCAGCCCTTTAACAGTATTTTTAATGTGGCCTGGCCGAGTGTCACATTGGTTAAGAGCTGGCTTGGGATGCCAGAGGGCCCCAGTTCGGATCCCACATATAAAGGCCAGTGACACTGCCCTCTACATCTAAGATGCTGACCAACAGCTCAACCTGGAGCTGGGCTGCCGTGAGTGAGTCGCCAGCGTGGGCATAGGCTGCAGCCCCTGCTGCAGTGGGTTGCCATGGGCTACCATGTGTGGCCGGCAGCCAGCATGAGTAGCTGGCAGCCAGCGTGAGCGATCAGCAGCCGCAGTGAGCGGCCATCCAGAAGCTGGAGACTGATCTGTCTCGTCGGGAAGAGCGCAATGATGGTACCAACTTGGGTCAGTGAAGCAACGTCCTCCACAACTAGACTGAAGAACAAAAGGACAGCAACTTGTCTGTTCCCCTTCCCCCAATTCCCCAGTGCTGTTCCCATCTCCCAATTCCCCAATAAAAATCTTAAAAAATATATATTTTTTTAATACAACCGAAATAATATATGCAAATAAGTTTAAAAGCAAAAGTAGTATATTTAACTCAATGAATTTGCCTCCCAACCCAAGAGCTAGGACATTACCAAAAACTTGCATCTACTTCTATATTCCAAAGCTTCCATCTCCTTCCCCACTCCTTCCCAAAAGATAATCACTGTCCGGACTTCTGGGCTTATCCTTCCTTTGCTTTTATTTTTAATATATTTATCACATCTTTTGGGTTGTCGGAAAAGTCATGACGCATTTTTGCAACAAAAAACAGAGAAAAAATACGTCATGACTTTTCCGACAACCCAATATATATATATGCCTATATAACACATTGTTTAGATTAGCTTGTTTTTGAGTTTTATGAAAATAACATGATACTATATTTTGCTTTATGTGGCATTGGTATTGCATAGTGTTTTAAGATTCATCCATGTTGTTGAGGGTCACTGTAGTTCAATTTTCACTGCAGTGTCATATTGCACTATATTAATTTATTTGCCTATTTTCCTTTACTTGTATATAGGAATTTGAGTTGTTTCTTTTTTTTTTATAAGCATTCTTATACATATGGGTAAGAGAGTCACTATAGCCTAATGCAGCTGCTGGGTCATAGAGTATGCAAGTGTACACATTTATAAGATAATGTAAATTAACTTCTAAGTGGTTGTACTATTTCCCCATGAAAAATGTATGAAAATCCCTAGCCCTAAGTCTGGGAACAAGGCAAGGATGCCCACTCTCATCGCTTGTGTTCAACATTGTATTAAAGGTCCTAGCCAATGATATAAGGCAAACAAAAGAAATCGAAGGCATAAAGAGCATCAACAAAGGCTTAAAAAATTATTTCCTTGCAATTAACATGATTGTTTACATAGAAAAACCTCAGCTGATTTGCAAAGCAACTAGAACTAATAAGTGAATGTAGCAAGTTCACTGGATCAAAAGTCAAAATTAAAAAATCAATTATGTTTTAATTACTAGCAGCAAACAATAAGAAAATGAAATTTAAAAACCCCATTTATAATAATGTCAAATAGCATAAAATATGTAAAAATAAATTTGACAAAAACAAAACAAAACCAAACAAAACAAAACCAAGACATCTAACTGAAAACTACAAAATGCTGTTGAGAGAAATTAAAGAATACCTAGCTAAATGGAGTTTATGGGTATAACAAATTTCAAGATCACAGATTGGATGACTCAATATTAAGGCCTCAAATCCTCCAATTGATCTAAAGATTCAACACAATCTCAATCATAATCCCACTAGGCTTGTTGGGTTGTTTTTGTGTGTGTGTGTTTTTAGAAATTCATTAACTATTATATAATTGAAATTTGCTAAGAGAGTAAAACTTAAATGTTCTCACACACACAAAAAGATGAACTGCTTCTAAAATTTATACAGAAATGTAAAGGACCTACACTATCCAAAGCAATATTGAAAACAAAGTTGCAGGACTTATACTTCCTGACTTCACGACTTAATATAAAACTATATGTATTTAAGACAATGTAGTACTAGCACAGGAACCAACAAATAGATTAATGGAACAAAATAAAGTCCAGAAATAGACCCAAATATATAAGGTCATTTTGTTCTTTTATGGAGGTATAAGTTACAGATAGTAAAATTTTACTTTTTTTTTTTTTGAAGATTTTTTTTTTTTTGAGGAATTGGGG